TGTATATGCGCCAATCCTGTATTAATTTACAAATCTTTTACATACAATACGATATAAAACCAAAAGTGTCAAAGTGTTCATCATTATCCACGGATATACTCATGTACTACAGGTGATTAAGCGTATGTAAAAACGAAAAGAATTGGAAGACAAAAGTCAAAATTAACTTTTGTGAATTTTTAATGGCTTCAAATTTTTTTATATAATAATATTTGTAACATTTAGCATTTGAAAGAATTAGTCGAGAGAGCGAAAGTCATGCCGGGCATAGTTTTAGTTCAATGTTTATTTAGACATTTCTATATATGTTTTTGCTTGTATTAGATGTGGCCTCAATTTCTGTATATAACAAAATATAATTGCATCAAATTATTATGCTACAACTGCTATACAGTTAATTAAGGTTTGGACAATTCTCAATCGAAGTTAATAATAAAATTTTTTCAATTTTTATCAAGGCGTAATCAATCTTTATGATTTAAGCTTGAATTATTATAAATGTTACTGTAAATGACTATATTGGGCATTACATGTTATTTATTACGTCCAGTTTTCTCCTCGTTCACATGCGAATTATCTGTTGCAACAATGCATATTATATTCTTGACGATTTTGGCGATTTAGCAAAGAGAGAAACAAGATTCGGAGTGGCAGGCCAGTGCAGATTTGAGTTCCATACACATTCGATGCATTATGTGTCAAATAGGATCATTATAAATTACAAGAGAGGGTATATAAAACCACTCTCAATGAACACTTAATCATAATTCGTAATTCATATAAAATAAATTAGCTGAATAAATAAATAAATTGCACAATTAATAAATTACCCTATAAAAATATAAAAATACGCAGGTATTGCTTAATTAATGACAATGTTATACTTTTAATTAATTGTCAGCTTAAGAGTATTTGAGAATGCGGGCTAACTTTGCAAAGAAAAGAAATTGGGTACATGAGGGAAATTTTTTAACGTAGATTTTTAAAGAGTTGCCTGACCAGGACTAATCAAGTCAGTATTTTCAACGCGAGCTTGGCGTAGCCAATCCCTGAGATTTCTGGTCCTTTCCATCAAATTCGAGGGATTCCTCTCGACTGTACCAACGCTGGTGCTGAAGCCACTATTAGGGCCGTACTGAGCGATAATGTTTTGAGTCGTGGTAATGGGAGGTTGTGCAGCAGTTAATTGAGACAGGATGTTAGATTGTATATTGGGTGTACCAAAGGCACCTGAAGAAAATAAAAGTTGTTCATATTCCCACTTTCTTACAGATACAAACAAGTTCTTATTTAAAAAGTCATTTTGTATATTGCATTTTGTATTTGTCAAAAATTATTTAAATCTGACTGCATGAAAATGTAGAACATATTGTGTACCATTTTAAAATGTATGCAAAATATTTAACGATGTACGTATACACATACGTGCATACATATACGTAGCGTGATGTTAATTAATTTTGAAAATAACTTGCAGTAGTTTGTAATAGCAGCCTTAAACGTTTGTATAATATATTCTTTTTCTTTACCTTGCATGCTGTTAGGCTGCGTGGTGAGATGATGAAACCGCAACCAACGCAAATAAGAGTACATAAGAGTCGGTGTTGGAGGTATGTTACTATCTTGACGTTTGTTCAAAACCTCCCAAATTTCTCGTATTTCTGAGTTCAAGCTTTCTAAACTCGCAATGATTTCAGTAGACTCTTGATAGTAATCTGGCTTATCTAAATTTCCAACAACCACAAACTATACAATGTAATGCAAATTTATGTTGTTTGTTATATAGTAGTTATGTATCGCATTGCATAATTGTACGATTTATCTCTTTTAATCTAGCCTAAAATTCGTGAAATAAGGTATATAATTTGTTTACGTTGTTTCTTCTATAAAATTAATGAATTAGTCTGGAAAATAAGGATCAAATGCAACTACGTATAAAACATATTCTTCCTACTTTTAATAAGTAATTAAACTAATAAAAATTAATTTAAATATAAAACACATTTTTAATATCCAATACAAAGGATTAATTTAGTTTTCATCTGTTTGAAAGTTTATAATATAATAATAGTTTATGATTATTAATGATGATTTAGAAAATTTTTAAATTTGCAACTTACCTATAAAAGTATCAGTTCCTAAGTCAGTTGAGCTGAAACCACTGCTGGCGCTCGACATATCGCTCAGTTCATCGTTCTTAGCATCGTTTTCATTTCGCTTATCGTTTGCCACCCGTTCCAGAGATTGTTCCAAATGTCTTAGATGAATGATTTTCTCACCTAAAAGGCTCTTGGTGCGATGTAAACTCACCTCCATTTCAGAGAGCTCGCGTTCCTCCTGATTAAACGAAGATAATTATTCAAACTTGTTTACATTCAATAGAAATATTATTAAAAGTTTTCTTTTATTAAAAAATAACAATAGAGATATTTAGACTAATTGTATCATTGCATCTCGTGCGTGTTATTTGAATATCGTAACTTAGAATACATTAAAAGATTGAGAACTTATTAAAATATATTTTGTGTAGAACTATATTTCCTTTCGGCAAATTATCACGTGTATTTTGTAATCGATATGTATTTATATAGCGATACCTGCACCAGTTGTTCTAGAGTGGCTCTCCCGCTCCGTTGTTTCCAAGCTCTTTGCCTACCCTGAAAGGCACTTTTTTGTTGTCTCAGCGCTTCGCAAGCTCTCCTCACCGAATCCTTCTCCACATGCATCCGATGTCGAAAGAATTCTAGCTCCGAAGAGACATTTGCCGGCGCTGTCAAAGAGAAGGGCACCGCGTGTTGCTTACAATTTGAATCAGAGATCGTATCCAAGTTTAAGTTTTAAGCGATAAATATGTTTCAAAGCTCGGCATTGAGATGGAAAAGGTGATAGAAAAATATGAATTTATGAAAACAGCGTGCAAAAGCAAAAGAAAAACTGATGGTGCACTCACGGTCCAGAAGGGTATAAGCCGTTAACCAAAGTAAAGTGTATATAATCCTATGAAAAGAAGAAATAATAAAACGCAATTATGCTGCATGGACAGAAATCATAGATACAAGTAACGATATACAACAGTTTAAGAAAATTTAAGTTCGTTTGTTGAGCTATTTACATATTTGTAGAATTTAAATATGTAACTAATAATAATAATAATTATATGTACTGTATCGGAAAATGAAATATTTAATAGATAAAAGAATTAATATGTAATTAATTATTTTATATATACAGGGTGAGTCTTTCCATATCCGACAAAATTTTTGAGAAGGTAGAACGGTTCGAGATGAACGGAAAAGTCTTGTACCATTTTGCAATTTTCGTAATAGTTAACGAGTAATTAATTATGAAAAATCGTTGTCTTAGGCCGGCCTACCGCCCAATTCGAGCGCGTGGCGAGATGTGCG